TATAATAATAATTGCTGTTTTCAGTCTGTCCATGAAATTTTGATTGACAATATTTAGCAGATAAAATTAATAAGTAGTTAATCCAGGTGTCCAACAGCTACAGTAAAGGCAAATAAGCTTACAAAATAAAATAGTAAGATGTAATAAGACATTAAATCAGTACTTTCTTTGCATTAATTTAAACAAAATCATAATGTTGTTCAAACAGTTTGGAAAATGTTTATTATTATATTTAAATTTTTTGTCTTGTTGAAGTAAAAAAGTTTATGACCCTGGCTGCTCTAAATGATGCCAGATCTTAAACAGTTTGAGCAGTTTAATTCACACTGACGTCCAGTCAGGTTTCAGATCTTATACCAGTGCTTGTCATCTCTTCCACAGGGTGTTAGGACCCAGAGATGTCAGAATGGTGGTTCTTGACATCACTCTTCCCACCGGCTTTACCCCAGAAAACTCAGACCTGGATACGGTAGTGACTTTCTGATTTCACTGACGTTACGAGTGCATAATATCCAAGTTAAGGTTTAGTATTTATGTGCACAGAACACATTCACCATCTTTGCATAAAGTATATTAATGTATTTTTTAAACTTTTCTATTATATAGTTGCAACCTGTTTGTTTGTGACTAAATATTAAGAACTTTATAAAGATTTCCTCTTTATTGTTGGGACTGATTACATGTTTCGGCCGCTAACATGGTCACTCTGTGTCTGTGTAGCTGTCCAGCTCAGTGGACCGGTACGTCAGTAACTTCCACATCGCAGATAATCTGAGTGATAGAGGCTCCCTGATCATCCATCTGTTCAAGGTAAAATCACAACAGGACAGTCAGATTTACTGGCTTGACTCAAGAGGGAGTCTGACCTCTAAAAATCCACTTTCATGAGAACGTTTGTTAGTTCTTATCATTCTCCTACATCTCCATTAATGTAACTTTTTCAAAAAGCAGAGCCTGTTAAGAATAAACTTAAAAGTCTTTATTTTAAAGGGATCCCCGATTAGTTGTAACYTTAGACTTTATTTGATAAACACGTATTTTAACTGTAAAATGAAGACTGTAAAAATACTGTAGGCTGTTTAGTTTTGTAAATGTTAAAAAATATATTTTAACACGGACGGAGCCATTTTATTTACATGCAAAGCATTCTGGGTAAATGATGACGTGGATAGGTCCTCGGTGTGAGGCTGCTAGCGAGCTATATCCACCCTGAAGGTTAATCTTGGACAATATCTGATGATRGACTCTTTTAAATGAAACCAGAGAGKGTTGACAGAGAGGAGAAGGTAGAAATGACTCAGCCTGGAACTGAAAATATGGATGGAGGACAACAGAGCTGCTTCATGGAAGAAGAACCCCAGCTTAGTCTGTTAGCCTTTGTGCTAACACTGACACTATATTGCCTTAAATGTATTAGCTCAGTGCTAGCGCGACAAACAAGCTGAACTGAGGTCCTCCATCTATATTTTTAGTTACAGGCTGAGTCATTTCTACCTTCTCCTCTCTGTCAACYCTCTCTGGTTTCATTTAAAAGAGTCGATCATCAGATATTGTCCAAGATTAACCTTCAGGGTGAATATAGCTCGCTAGCAGCCTCGCACCGAGGACCTATCCACGTCATCATTTACCCAGAATGCTTTGCATGTAAATAAAATGGCCCCATCCATGGAATATATTTTTAAACTTTTAGTTTAAAAATTATAAAAACTGAACATCCTACAGTATTTTTACAGTCTTTATTTTACAGTTAAAATAAATGTTTATTGAATAAAGTGTAATGTTACAACTAATCGGGGATCCCTTTAAGAGCTCAGACTTATTAAAACAATATGTTTCAGGTTTTACACTATATTTTTTTCCCTGTCACATCTTGTCAGGTTTCTCACAAAGAGCCAGAGATCCTGATTTTCAGGCTTCGGCAGAACTTTAAAGTTGGTCTTCTGCAGCCATCCTCTGTTACTGCCTACGAATATTACAATCCCGGTAAGAAAACACAACCTGTCACCCTGAACAGCGCAGTGCTAATCCAGATTATGTACAGTTTACGTTGTTACACCGAAAACTAACCTGCTGTATAGATGTTACTTTCTTCTGCTCTGTGTGTTTGCAGATCACCGCTGCAGCCGTATTTACTCTCCTAAAGAGGACCAAGAGGAACTCACTCGGATCTGCAACAACGATGTCTGTCGCTGCACACAGGGTAAAGAGTCCACTAGCCTCTGTTAGCATTGGTTATCATTCATGTTGTGTCGTTTTACCCACTGTTTACTTTGCGTCACTGTCCAGGTGACTGCTGTGTCCCAAAAGCTGAAAATGCAAATTTCCTCACCCAAGAGAGGGAGACATTTGCCTGCAAGAGCTTGCACCATGGTAAGATGCACACTTTTATATTCAGTTTATGCTTGTGCACAATATATTTATCCATCAGTTTTTAACTCACACAAAATAATTTTTTACAGTTATTAGACATTAGATATAATAGTGTTTACATTAATGTTTAATACATCTGTAGTTGGAGGTGTTTGACTCACTTTGTATTTCAGTTTGGCAGGTGAAGGTGGTGAATGTCAGCCAGAGTTACTACGACAAATACGAGGTGGAGATTACACAAGTTATTAAACTGGGTGAGTTCACAGCCATGATTCTGCGTTTCTGTCTGACAAACACAGGCTCCCAAATACTGACAAGATTAAATGTTCTTTTTATGTGGAAAGTGTCTGGTCATTTTCATATCATGCAACAGTAACAAGATTCTTTTTGTTTATTTAGCCATAAAATGTGTTTTTGTTTACTTTTTGCTTTGTCATATGCCCGTAAACCACAGTAAAGACTTTACTTTTAAAGACACATTTTAACCAGAATGTTTAAAAATTAACTTTGAGGTTATGTTTGTTTTTAAATTGTGCAGTTTATCTAAAAAAAGATAAACAAGCAATAAAAGATAGCTTGCTTTTGAAAATATGTTTTCATTAAAAAAAGAAAGAAATAAAGAGAAGATGCTGGAGATAGCATCTTTTAGGTTTTCAGAGTTTTATCGTTGACTTTAAAACAAAACCTTTTTCTTCCAGGTGTGGAGGCTGGAGTTGAAGTTGGTCAGAGGAGGTTTTTCATGTCTCATGGCAGCTGCAGAAAAGGACTAGACCTACAGCTGGGATCCCAATATCTCATTATTGGTCCTAAAGGAGACCAGTGGACCACTGAGCCTGGTACCAACAGGTGAGGAAAGTGTTCACTATCTTTGCATGGATTTATTTTTATCCCCCTTTTGATCACAAATCGTCAACATAAAAGAAATTTAATTTAATTTAGTTACCTTTAATTTGATGCGTATTAGACCTGACACAGCATGTGTCTTCATCCTTTTGTTCCTGTTTTGTGTGTCAGATTTCTCTATATGTTGGGGAAGGACACGTGGGTGGAGCGATGGCCTTCAGCTGCAGAGTGTCCCAGCAGTGCTGCCATGCAAGCTAAGTGCAGGACTCTTAATGAAGCTGCAAATGAGCTTTCTGTGAACGGCTGCAGTCTATAGAAGCATCTGTGTCGAATCATATTACTTTCAGAAAATTGTGTTTTACTTTGTCTCAGTTTGTGCAATATGGAGTTTGCTTTTATTAACAGAAAGTGAATTTTCTCACAGAAACAATCATTCAATGTTTTCTGAGTACTGTGAAGTTTAATTAGAATCAGAACAACAGAAAACCAAGATGCTCACAATAAATAGAAACAAAAACACCAGAATTTCTGTCCTTGATATTGTTGTCTTTATTTAATACCTAAAGAAAAAAGGAAAACATTTTGTATCTGCTTAGTAAATACTTGTTTTGTTTTGACAAATGAAAAGTATATATTTACAATGAAAATATTAAGCGTTTACGACAGAGTATTAGAGCTACATAAGATTTTTTATTTTTTTTAAATAATGAGAATAAAGTCGTGATATTACATTAAAGTTGTAACATTACGAGAATAATGTCTGATGAAAATAAAATCATAGTATTAGCCATGAGAAAAAAGTCATAATATTACAAGAAAAGAGTCATAATATTCTGAAATTAAAGTTGTAATATTAAATTAAAGTTAGACTATACCCTTTACACAAAAAAGCAGTCTTACCACTGCATTAAAATGATGAAAGCTGAGCAACTTAAGTTGTTGTTTAGTATCAATTAAAATTAAAACTTAATCTTTTAGTAAATTATCATCAGTTTATCAGTAGCAGGACTTTGAAACAATTTACATGATAAACTGAACCGTATTGTAATTAATGGATGCATTGACTGATTTAGTCGTCACGTAATTTGGATGGAAGCATTTTACACTAACAGTGACCCAAAAGTCATCACAGACTACTTCATAAACACAGACATGCATGACTGTCTGCAGTGCAGGTGTTAGGAAAATGATGAGGAAATGAGTAAAAAAAATCAGGAACGGAAAATGGTTATGTTATGTGATGGTGCGTTCACACCGAACGTGATTTCAGCATCAGGAGCCTCAGGTTTACATGCAAATTCTATGGTGGATGCGCTTCAATCAGTGTCGGGAAGTGCTGCGGCGCCTCAAGCGCGATTAGAGCAGCGTGATTTGAACGATCTGAGCGTTCGACGCGCTGAGGCGCAAATCGCTGAAGTTAGAAAATCTGAACTTTTGCAGCTCGACGCGCCGCATCAACCAATCAGAGAGACTCCACTGTGTGACGTAGCGACATATTTCCTGACGGGACAGTTTACTGAATGATGTCCACTAACCTGAAACAGATGGAGAGGAGCTCTTTAGCTGAAATCGAGTGCCTGCAGTTGGTGTCCTGACAGGAGATATCCTCACCAATGCGTGGCAGCGGCTCATCAGACTGGACTCGGGACAAAAATAGTCCTGAAAGCGAGCTGTGAGCCTCTACTCCGAATTATCTGGTGAATTAATTATGAATTAATTATCTGATGAATGTGACATGCTCTTGCTCTCTGTAAATAAAGCAAAGCCACTTCCTCGTCCGACATTAAACAGAGCCCGACAGAGGAGGGAGGGGCGGGGAGGCTCTTGCCGTGCAGCGCTTCAAGAGCTGACCTGCGTCTGACCTCAAAGTGCACAAGCGACCAACTTCAGCGTTAGCTGCGATTTTGAAGCTGAAATCGCGTTGGGTGTGAACACAGCATAAGATTATGACTTTTTTCTCATATTATGACTATTTTTCTCGTAAAATTACAACTTCAATCTTGTAATTTTATGATGTCATTCTCGTAATAATAATAAAAAAATCCTGTGTGGCCCTAATACTCCGTCGTATCAAATGTAATATGAAACATAAAAATACAGCACTATTGGACGAATTTCACACACACAAAAATAAAACGACAAAATTATTTCCTTCTGCAGCTCCTTTTGCATTAGTGGGTGAAAAGTGTAAAGGTATTTACCGTGACAATTTCCAAGTAAGATAAAACTAAATAAGTTGGACTTCTTTATTATTGTAAAAAGTCTGTTTTTGTGACTGGTCACTGTGGGTGTGTTTGTTCACGCAGAGAAGTGCAGCGCTGTGGAGAAACACATCACTCTACGTGTCATTTTGCTGAAAATGTTTGGCTCCTAGAAGCTGGTTGTGAAATTAGCCAGTTGGAATGTCCAGCTGATGCTCTTGTCTTCTTTCTGTCTCTTGTCTTGTGGAAGTAGAAACCAGCTTTTATAATTAACCAATAGAAGTGACACAGCAGATGTCTTTTTTCTTATGGAGTGTTCAAACTTGTGTAGAAGATGCGGGGTGTAATGTGACCCATCACATCGAAACGAGGATTAAATCCAAAAGTGGTATTTGGAGAAATAGGCAAACATAGTGTTTTGACTAAAATGTTAACAAAAATTGCATTTTGTCAAAATATAATGAATAAATGCCTGTATCATTTGAATGAACTGTCTGTAATATAATCATAAAACTAAATTTTGAAGCATTTTTTAGCAGTAGCAACAAAAAAACTGATTTTGAGGAAAAACGCCTTAAAATTTTGAGATTTTCCCTGTGAGCTGGCAAAGTTTTGTTTTTTTAAGCAACGAAATCTCAACATTCAAATATAATTTGAGGTTCCTCTTTATAAGGACATCAAAAATTCCTCATTAAAATGACATAAAATTTTGATTCAGACCAAATATTTATGTATTATTGCAACCAACGAGACAAATTAAGTCATATATATGGATTTAATTATGATATCAGAAAGATCCACATGTCAAAATGTAGCGTTTAAAGCCAAGAATATGAAAATGTAATTAGGTCATTTTGGCCAAATTTGATTTAATCCTCATTTCGATATGATGGGTCACAAATCATCATAATCCCTCCCACAGCATCCCCAATGTAGCAGCTAAGCATAAACAACAGCAGGGTAGATAGCTGATTTTTTCCACTCAATGATGGATCAGAAGTTTGGAGAGAAGCTGGATAAAGAGACAGAGCAAACTTTTTAAATTTTCAGTAAAATGACACGCAGAAGGACACACTGCTCCGCATTATAAACATGCCCACAAAGTTCTGACCCATACAGTACAAACTGCATAGGTCTGTAGAACAGAGTTCTGACTGGGGACATTGTGTAAGATGAGGTGTTAGGGTGGGGAGAGATAACAGATGGAAGTTGTGTAATTTCCCTGACACATGACTGCAAGCAAGGCGTGAAAATGAAAGTACAAACAAGCCTTGACTGAAACGTTTTACCAGCAGGAGAAGGTCAGAATAGGACAGAGCATACTGGAAATTTAAACCGCACTTCCTCTTTTTTTTTTAAATTTACATCGTAAGTCAGGTGTCAGAAAATAAATACAGGAAACTAAAGTTAGCACCCAATATATATTATATAATTTTTTAACACATAATTGAACTTAATAACACTTAGTTAATATGACCTCCAGAACATATTTTTTCTATGATGTTAAAATAAAACCAAGTAAAGTCTCACATGATGATGCTACAGAGAATGGCTCACAAAGTTCACAGAATTATTTATGAAGTCTGGTTTTGCTTTGTTTTAGAGACCCTACAAGAGTTTATTTGAAATTGTTGACCACGCTGTACAGTGCAGATGGATCTTTAACAAGTGTCTGAGCCTTTGGTATCTGGACGGCACTGTACACTGCAGATGGATCCACAGCTTCAGTCCTAAAAGGGTTATAATGACAGAATGAAACTATTCCCATATTTAACGGGTACAAATAATAAAATCTGACATTTGTGAATATAATTCTAAAAGACAACTTTGACACTTTACTCGCCTCACTTCCGTCCCACTCTCACTCACTTTGTAAAAATGGGACTAATATAACTTGGGTTATTTTCAAAATTATTCTGAGTTTTAAATAAGTAAGATGTTTCGTGAGAAAAACGTCTTACCTTGGGCTATATTTGACTGTAGAATACTCTACGCTCTCATGTTCCTCCTTCGTTGGTCTACAGGCTGCGTTTGATCTGATGTTCATGTAGATACAGTCATTCTGATTCCTCATCATTCGCACACTGCTATAATGAAGATCCTCCTGCTCTTCTGAATGGTGGGGTTCACCCTGCAAGAACAAATATATTTCTGAATTATTAAGTCGTAACATCTGTGACAGCAAATTGTTGGAGCGGTGTTGTTAGGATTTCACCAAATTGGTTTAATAATTCATTAATTGGTGCTCATTCTTGTCTTTAATATGTTAAGCAGCCTTAGCTACGTAGCTTAAATGTGCTTCTAATTCTAAATATTGTCGTTTTGGGACAAGTGAGCGTTAAGAGATGGTCATTAAAAGAAGTCAGGATGGTTTTTATTCAATTTTCTTCCTCACCTGTGCTCTGGTTTTGGGTCTTTTTCCAGGTTCACCTGAAGGTGCTGAAATTTTCTGTTTTCTAGTTTGGTTAAAAAAAAAAACAGTTACCAAACTGACTGGTAATATGACCGACTGTCAACGATCGACTGTTAAAAAAAGACAAACTCACTTCATAAGAAAAAAAACAAAAATGATAATGCTGATGATCAGGAAAACAAAAGCTGTTGTTCCGCTGGCCACTGACTTCCATGTCTCTGGAAAAGTGAAAACAACATTAAACCGAATTTAGAGCTCCCTCATTTATTTTCTGTAATTGAGTCTTGCAGGACTTGTGACTCCCAAATGTTTATACTTCTCACAAACAAATTAACAGCTGACACTCATTACTATCTTTGATTGAGGTATTCAAACCAGAGATATTTTAGAACGGCTCTTCAAAACAACAAGAAAAAAATCTAAACTGAGTCAGAATATTGGAAGCCTTTCCTTTTTCTTTTATTATTTTCTTCCTTGTGATTTCTTTGTGGTTTCCTCCTCAGATGTAAATAATACACATAGACTCCTTTGTTTTTCTATTGAGGCAAAGAAGAACAGGCAAAGAGGAGAAGAACTGCAGTTGCTGTATGGTGTTTTATTGTACTTCACTATATATGACCTGTGTCAACACATAAGGCTGCTATATCATACTTGACTACCATAACCTACGTCAACACACATGGCTGTACATTGTTCGTCACTACATATGACTAACATAAACACATATGCTGCTACATCATACATCAACACATACAGCTGTACATCTTACGTCACTACGTACAATCTAAGTCAAGCTGTACATCATACATAGTGACATGTAGGTCAGACATGACATACCTATGTATTTACCAGAGGTAGGAAGTAAAGTAAATTTACTTGAGTACCTTACTTAAGTACTACAGAGAATTGAGAATATTTATTTTACTTTAGTAGCATTTTTAAAAACATTTTACTTTCTCTCTACTACATTTTAACAATAAAATCATACTTTTTACTTACCTACATTTCTCTAAAGGTTTCATTACTCATTACTTCTTTTGGTCATGTTTGTGTAGTTTGTTCCACCAACATACTATAAAATTACACACTGCACCCCAGTATGGTAGGTGGGGATATGCAACTTTAAGCCAGTTGTGAAGAAAAGGATAAGGAATCATTTTTATCATAATAGTGTTGCCTTAGGTACGCACGCACAGATCAGGCACATGGAAATGATGCTACACCTGCTGTTCACAAGAACAGCTCTCTACCAGAGCATCAGTGACCCTAGCTTAAATCTATGTTCAAGATGTTGAAATAGCAAATGATTTGTATTGTTTTAAGTGTTTGCTGTGTTTGAAGCAGACAAACTTAACCACAGCCCACAAAAATTGCCTTCCAACCTGAAAAAGCATGTCAATGTCTGTGGGCAGTATTTAAGTTAAACCAGAGATCTTTAACCCTGTTCCTTGTGATCCACTGTCCTGCATGTTTTAGTGGTTTCCCTGCTCAGTACGCCTGATTAAAATAATTAAATGACCTATGGTACTCAGAATGTCATCAAGTTTAGCAGAAGCCTGTCCATCTCTCATTCCTTTCAGTCAGGTGTATTGAAGCAGGGAAAATATCCATTCAATTTTTGGATCTTTTTAATTTTATTTTCGTTTCCGTTTTCTGCCGCTTATCTGGGGTCAGGTCGCGGGGGTAGCAGCCTAAGCAGAGAGACCCAGACTTCCCTCTCCCCAGCTACTTGGGCCAGCTCATCCAGGGGAATCCCAAGGTGTTCCCAGGCCAGCCGAGAAACATAGTCCCTCCAGCGTGTCCTGGGTCTTCCTCTGGGTCTCCTCTCTGTGGGACATGCCCAGAACACCTTACCAGGGAGGCGTCCTAACCAGGTGCCCGAGCCACCTCAACTGGCTCCTCTCGACGTGGAGTCCCACATCCTGAAGTCCCTCCAGGATGACTGAGCTTCTCACCCTATCTCTAAGGGAGAGCCCAGACACCCTGCGAAGGAAACTCATTTCAGCCGCTTGTATCCGTGATCTCATTCTTTCGGTCTCTACCCAAAGCTCATGACCATAGATGAGGGTAGGAACGTAGACCGACCGGTAAATCGAGAGCTTCGCCTTCTGGCTCAGCTCCCGCCTCACCACGACAGACCGGTACAGTGCTCGCATTACTGCAGATGCAGCACCAATCCCCCTGTTGATCTCCCACTCCATTCTTCCCTCATTCGTGAACAAGACCCCGAGATACTTAAACTCCTCCACTTGAGGCAGGACCTGCTCCCCGACCCGGAGGAGGCACCTTACCGGTTTCCAGCTCAAGACCATGGTCTCAGATTTGGAGGCACTGATCCTCATTCCGGCCGCTTCACACTCGGCTGCGAACTGCTCCAGTGAGAGCTGGAGATCACGATGAAGCCAATAAGACCACATCATCCGCAAAAAGCAGAGATGTGATCCTTAGGTCAACAAAAAAGGATCCCTTCAACACCTCGGCTGGGCCTAGAAATTCTGTCCATAAAAGTTTTGAACAGAATCGGTGACAAAGGGCAACCTTGGCGGAGTCCAACTCTCACAGGAAACGAGTCCAACTTACTACCGGCAATGCGGACCAGACTCTGACACCGGTCATGCAGGGACCTAACAGCCCGTAATTTTATTTTCTCTGTAGATTTTTTTTTACTGCTTGACAAATGATTTTGGGCAAAGCGCATCAGAAAGAATGGTCATTTTCAGAATAAAAAACATGGTATAACTCTGGTTTTACATGGCCTATTGACACAATTTAAAAACTGGTGTAAAGTTTAAAGTCTCTATTTTTGACCTAAATTGAAACAGAGTCTAAGAGAAGGTGCATCTTTTCCGTTAGAGATATTTAAATAAATCATGTGACTAGAATGGAGGGCACATGACGGGACTCCAGAAAGCATCTCATTTTTAGCTGAAATATTTTTGAAAGCACATACTCACTTTAACTTAAGGATTTGACAGAGCTACTTTTACTTTCATTGGAGTAATATTTAACCAGAAGGATCAGTACTTTGACTCAAGAGATGAAAATTAGTAGCCTACTTTGTCCACCACTGGTCTGTTACTAGCACTACTTTTAAAGAATAATTTGTTTTTGAACATTTTCTCAAGACCCCAGTGTTGATGTTTTGTGATTCGGAGTCCAGCCACCACTGGGAACCACTGGTTTAAACAAACTGTGATTAACCTAATAAATGATCTAATCAAACTGTGAATCACCTGCTGCTGCTCACTTAGAATGGTTGACACTTTCTGCTGTAGCATCCAATCTCCACCTTCGTATTTCTATTTGACGGTGAACTTTGACACAGTGTTGTACAAAGTACCTCAAAGTGATACTTGAGTAAAAGTACAAGTATTTTATCATAAAAATACTTTGGTAAAAGTTAAAGTCTTCTCTAAAAAATATTACTTGAGTAACAGTCTTAAAGTATCTGATATTTTTTGTACTTAAGTTTCAAAAGTAAATTTCTGACACAAAATCGACTTAACTATTAACAGTAAAAGTACTGAGTAAAAGTGAGAAGTTAGCTTTTCTAAAATGACATTTGTTGGGAGGTGACTTCTCCAAAAATATTTTTTCTAACAGCGTGCAGCTGTGATGGGTTGTGTACAAGCTAATAGGGTGTCAGAATGTTATAAATTTATACTTCTCATCCAACCACAATTAAATTCACTCAATACAGGCGACACTATTTATCATGATAGTATTTTTAAAGTATTATCAACTCAGAATAAAATAAGAGTAACGACTTTCTACTTCTTACCTTTTTTAAAAATGTAGTGAGAAAGTACAGATAATTGTGTACAAATGTACTGAGTAAAAGTAAAAAGTACGCTGAAAAATAATTACTCYAGTAAAGTACAGATACCCAAAAATTCTACTTAAGTACAGTAACAAAGTATTTGTACTTAGTTACTTTACAACTCTGCTTTGACATATGATGTATGTCATATGATGTACTGTAAATGATGGAAGTGAAACATTACCTGCCACGACAGCCACCTGTAGTGTGGCGTTTTTATGTCCTATTCTGTTCTCAACTCGACAGTAATAGTTTCCGCTGTGATCGTGTTTGATGTTGTTGATGGTGAAGTTTTCTCCTGAAGCTTTTGATGAGTTTTCACCCTGCTTGTACCAGGTGTATTTAGCCGCTGGGTTAGCATCACTGCTGCAGGTCAGAGTCACTGAACTGCCCTCCATGATGCCATCAGAAGGACTCATCAACACGGAGGGAAGATCTGGAGCGTCTGCAAGAGGAGGAGAATAACTTGTTGGACTATATTTTTCAGAAGAGGCTGAAAACTACAAACAGTTACATGTCAAATAGTTTTATAAATAGCAAATAGAATTTTTAGCAACATAATTCAGTGGTAAATGAAATTTTTACATAAGATAGCCATCATTAGAACATTGATAGGTAAAATACATTGTCTAATAGTTAATGAACAATAAAATGGCTCACATATAACATCAATCTTGACTCCATCAGATACATTTCCTCCCCTATAGTTGAAGGCTTTACAGACATACAGGCCAGACTCAGATCGCTTGATGGAACTGAAGATGAGTTGTCTGTTGACACCAACAGGTCTGTGGTCACTTTCCTTGTACCAGGTGTAATTAGCTGCTGGGTTAGCATCACTGCTGCAGGTCAGAGTCACTGAACTGCCTTCAACAATATCACCAGAGGGGCTCACTGAGACAGAGGGAAGTTTTGGACCATCTGGAAAAACAATAAAACAATTACTCACATTAGACTGAATGATTCTGAGAGACTTTGTGGTACAGACATTATTTCCTCATGAGAACTTACAGAAAACATCCACAAATATAGATGAAGATTTTAGTTGTCCATAGTGATTCTCAGACAGACAAAGGTAGTTTCCTCTGTCTTTAGAGGTGCTGGAGGGAACAGAATAAACATCTTTGGACCAGGAAAGGAGTTTACTGTCCTTGTACAAGGTGTATGCAGGTGCTGGGTTAGCATCACTGCTGCAGGTCAGAAACAGAGGTTTACCCTCTTCTACTGGACCAGAAGGACTCACTGAGACAGATGAGTACTTTGGAGGATCTGTATGTAAAACAGAACATTATGAATGAGCAGTAAAACAAACAGTAAATAAAAATGTTTCAATTATTTAAGTGAATCTGTGATAAATGTTTTAGTTTTGTTGCAAACTGAGAGAACTCTAACATTTGCAGCTTATTATTTTTATGTGAAGAGCTCTACTTTAAATTAAAAATACAACAAACCAAAAGTCTTATGTTATTCAGTCATTATATCTTTTTTATTGTTTTAATTTTTTTAAACTCACATTTCACGTTAATTTTTAAACTTGAAGAAGTGAAAGTGTGGCTTCTGTGATAATTTTGTACTGTGCAGTAATACACTCCAGAATCAGAGGACTTGATGGAGCTGAAGACATGATCATTTTCTTTACTGAGCTTTTGAAAATCTTGTTTTCCATGTTTCTTGTACCAGCTGTATGTAAGTGAGTAGTAAGCAGAACTGCAGGTCAGAGTCACTGAACTGCCCTCCACGATCTCACCAGAGGGAGAAACCCACACACGGGGATTATATGAAGAATCTGGAGGAGACAAACATTATTCAGTTTTCAAATGAAAAAGGCATGTAATATAATACCACATGTTAAAAAAACAACAGACTTTATTTGTGCAGCTAAAATTTGAATTAGCGCTGCCCACCACTGTTTAAAAGTAATGACACTAATATTAAAATGATATTTCAAAACAACATGGATTTAGAACTCAAATCATTCTCCTTAGCATGATTGTGTTTTGTTTATGAAAATTACGTGTAATCTGCAACAGCTTTGTTTATTCTAAAGTAAATTATTTTAAGACATTTTAATTCAGACTTTACACTGAAGGTGTGAACTTACACACTGCAGGAGATGGAGAATGCTCAAATCCCTTTAAGGCACACCGGATTCCAGCATAAGATGTCTGCCGGAGAATATACTGTTTTCCTTCTTTATATTTTTCATCGTATTTTTTCCAGATGTAGGAAACAGAATCAGGCAGCTGACAGTCGCTGTGACATGTCAGCTGGGATGGATACTGATTGTTTATTGATCTCCCCACAATAACCTGCAGCTGTGGATCTTAAACCAACAGAAATCATCAGTGAGCTTAACACAGAAAGATTCATTGTAAAAAGTAAAATATTTACCTTCTACAGACAGAGTGACTCCTGGTGAATAAACATATGAATGTTGTGATTCATGAAAATTTAACCTGAACTTGTATTCAGCTGAATCAGAGTTTCTGATGTCTGAGATGGATAAAGTGCACTCCGTATAAACACATCGACACTGAACTCTGTTTCTGTTTGAGACGTCTCTGAGATTCCACATTTTATCATTTTTTAAGCAAGAGATTTCCTGAACTGCATATGTATAATCTGTATAGGTTTTGTCTCTGTAGGTGCAGTTAATGATAACAGTTGATCCTCTGATGGCACAGATCTGATAGGAAGTGCAGGACCATCCCCAAATGTTTCTCTCATCTGTATCACAGAGAGAAACAGAATCCAGTTAGTGCCACACCTCTGTACTTCTACATTAAATCTGCCAAAGTTTGTCTCTATTATTACAGACCAACTTTTAAATCATTCTTGAAGCTGGTTCCATATGTTAATAACAAAATACAAGTCAGGTGTTGTGATCTGTATTTATTTTAACAAAGAGATTTCAAACTCACACAGAGTAGGGGATCTGAACTTCTCATGTCCTTTCACACTGCAAGAAAGGCTGTTTGTTGAATCCAATGGGAAATTATAATATTGTTGAGTTTGTGTAATTTTTTGGTCATTATTGTACCAGATGTAGGATACATTATTAGGTATAAGGCAACTGCTCTGACACTCTGCATAGAAAGACGTCCCAGAATGTCCCACGTGAACCTTTAGATCTGTGTCATTTAGAGGAAAAATATGATTTTTAATCTTTACATTTAAAACAACAAAACAAATGAACTCAGTAGGAGTTAAAAGTAAAATGATGAATTGTAAAATAAAACTTTACCTGTTACAGTCAGAGTGACTCCTCGTGAACCAGTATATCTCCCAGAACTCTGGTAGGTTGTGAACCTGAACTTGTACTCAGCTGAGTCACTTTCTCTCACATCAGTGATCGTTAGATGACAAACATTGTCTTGGTCTTTACAATCATACGTCACACGATTTAAAACATCAGGATCAGTTTTCAAATCCACATGTAGGTCATTATCAGATTTTGTAAACCAGAATCTGTCTTTAACATAAAACTTTTGGTTATTTTGACTGGGAGGGTATGAATAATTGCAGCTTATTTTCACTGTGGATCCTTTTAAGGCACAGATCTGAGAAGGACTGCAGGTCACCCCCCAGCCTCCCTGACCACAGACAGCTGTGAAATTGATCACAAATAAGAAAAAAAACATACTTATACAATTATATTCCTTCAAACTGGGCTACAGTTACCAAATAAATACATGGAGGTGTATGTGAGTCAATCATTTTGCACATATGAGTAATTATAAAAGCATAAAAAGATTTACCATAACAACAAAATATTCAAAAAATTCACATCTATCTGATGTAGTTAATAAAATAGTTATTCAAATTACCTCAGAACATATAAATTTATTTAGTCCAATATTTTTCAAATATACAGTATCTATGAACATTTTAAATACTGTATATAATATACATAAAGCAGAGACATCAAAAGTATAATTTAATACATTTAAAAAACTTGTAAAAATTATAGAAAATACTGTATTTTTGTCTTTTAAATCTTGTTTAAGTAGAAACAACAGACGTACATTACCTGACACAGTGAGAAGAAGAAGAAGAACTCCTCTGGTTGTTTCTGTAAAACTCATAGCTGCTCTTTTCATCTCTTTGAGAAAGTTAATATTTAAATGTAGACAGAACAAGTTTGAGCTGTACTTTTTCCTTGTTGAGAAGATGGAAAATGTCTTGATGCATAATGAAGCTTCCTCGTCAAGTTGTTAAAAATACTTCCAGCTTCCTTCCTCTTCTGCTCATCTGTATGCATGATCAGTTCTACAACCGTTCTGCTGTGTAAACATTTGAATTATAAACCAAGAGTACAAGTGTTTGAACAACTGTGATTCTGATCATCATGTTTTTACAGTTTTTCTCAGTTGCTAAAACACTAAACCCTGTTCTCCGAACCCATGTTGCCTGAACCCATTTATTAAAATGGTCACCCTTTTGTCAGAACTTTAAACACGTTTCACCCAGTTAGACACAACCTGCAGACCTATTTTCACCCACTAAAACACATATTGCTCAGTAATTCACGTGGGTTTCACAATGATTAGCACAGGTAACGAGTTTGAAACACAATTGAAGCACAGTTGTCTCAACTTAAACACAGCAACTCAAAATAGATCACACACATGTCTAATGATGAGACCAAACCAATGCAGACCCCTGAAACTCCCAGGCCTCTGGTGGAGGACCTGAGTTTGAAATGAAGTGGAAGAGTAGGACAAGATACAGTACAAGTTTTCTATAAATTAGAGATATAATGTTTTATTTATTTATTTATTTATTTATTTATTTATTTATTTGACTACAAGTGCTACGCAGGTGTTTTGTTTAGGAAATGCCTTTTCTTTGGGTTGGTATCGTTGGGACGCTGATTCACACCTTTTGCTCACAGGGGGCTGAGTCATACTTGCAATAACCGCATTGTAGGAGGAGGACAACTGGACACAACTGGACACAAAGGCCTCCACCTCTGTTTAATGGTGGACTTTTTTTATTTTCATAACACAACACGGGTCAGGTGATGGGGCACATGACCCTCTATGAACAATAGAGCCAATCAAGCCTATTGTTAGTCGATGGCCCTCTTTTGCATGTGACTAACCTGTTTGTCCATGTGGAGGCAGTGCTTATAAGGCTGAGTTCACCTGAAACTCATCAGACTGAAGAAGTCTCTTGGAGGAGAGACGAAACGTTTCACTAAAGAAGAACCCATCCAGAGGACATTTATTTTTTTCTTGTTGATTTTTTCTACCTGGATTACTGAGATGCATCAGGACAGTTGTTTTGTTTTGTTTTGCAGATCACCAAGGGAGGGGACGAGGATTTCAGTTGAGTGTCACATTGTTAGAGATCTTACATGATCTTATTTACTGCAGAAACAGTGTGGCAAAACCTGCTGGGTCCAGCTAAACTGTGTGTGTGCGTGCGGGCGGATGGGTATTCCTTATGTCGTGGGACAGTTTTTTGGGCATTCACGCCTGCTTGTGGGGACCTGAATCTAATCCCCATGCGGGGAAACACTGTTAGTGGGTCGTAGGTTCAGTTTAGGGCTTAGGTGTAAATTGATTTTAGGTTAGTTTTAGAGTCAGCTACGTACAGTACCTGTGAGGTTAGCTTTAGGGTTGGTGATCAGGGTTAGGTTGTAGAAATGAATGGAAGTGTGTGGGTTTGTGTGTGTGTACCCAGAGGAAGAGAAGGCAACAGTTTTGTTGTACAATAAAAGCTACAAAATAAATATCCACATATATTCTATCATTCACAAACAGAAGACAAACTGTAATATTTGTGTAGTTAGTGATTCAGGAAATGTATATCCACACAATTTATGTCGAGAAGCTGCTGGAATAGAAAAAGACAAAATAAAAACAGTCACACAGCATTTTTACTGAATTAAAAATGCATAAATAAACTTATTTTGGAATTATTCACCATCTTTGCTTAAGAAGTCAACCTTTTGTTGTTACCATGTTAGCAGTTTTACCAACACAAGCTTTGTATTAGAGCTGCATCAAAGTTAGAAAGCTACTTCTTTCACAGTTTACAAGCTCATTTTCCTATTTCAGGTTTAAACTGTTCCTTTTTTTAAATCATCTTTGAGCTTTAAAGACAAAAATATATGTATGGTGACATCTTGTGGCTAAAACCGCAGCCATCTAAATACATCCTTTTCAGATACAAATAGTTGTTCACTTTTTGATTATAAAACAAGATAACATAAAATAAATCTAATTTAATTTAGTTACCTTTAATTGGACGCATATTAGACCTGACACAGCATGTGTCTTCATCTTTTTGTTCCTGTTTTGTGTGTCAGATTTCTCTATATGTTGGGGAGGGACACGTGGGTGGAGCGATGGCCTTCAGCTGCAGAGTGTCCCAGCAGTGCTGCCATGCAAGCTAAGTGCAGGACTCTTAATGAAGCTGCTAATGAGCTTTCTGTGAACGGCTGCAGTCTGTAGAAGCATCTGTGTCGAATCACACCACTTTCAGAAAATTGTGTTTTACTTTTGTCACATTCAGTCCAATATGGAGTTTGCTTTTTATAACAGAAACTGAATTTTCTCACAGGAAATATCTTATAATGGTTTCTAAGTACTGTGAAGTTTCAGTAGAATGAGAAAAACAGTGGAATGTGGCGTCCTTGTATGTCTTTGACCGAGTGATGGTGAGGATGAGGGTGGGATGGTGCGATTGTGTATGTTTGGGTATTTGTCAGGCTGCGGTCTGGGCTACCCCTACTGCTGGTTTATCTGGGGGCCCGCTGCTACTCAGCCCCACTGTGGGGTGTGCGGCTGGCCGCCGGCGTGCTGGGGGTTCCCGGAGTCTGGGGCTGGGCGCTGAGGTGTGTGCCGGCCTGGCCTGGTGGCTGCCTGTTGGGGCTCAGGGCCTCTGGGCCTGTCGGGCTTTGGCCTGGCGGGGGTTGCGCCCTGGGGGCCCGGACCTCTGTGCCCTTTCCTGGATCTGCTTTGGTATGGCGGGTGCCGGTGGGGCCCATGAGTTTGTCGCTGCTGGCCCCGGGGGCTGTGCGTGTGGTCGCTGGGGGGACTCTCCCAGTGTTCCCCTATGGTATGATCTTGGGGGTGGGTGGGCAGATCTTCCCGTACGGGTGCCACTTGGGGCTTTGCGCTCGGGATTCCCCTCGGGCCCTTGGGCTCTGGTCTTCCCTATGTCTGCCTCGTGTCTTGGGGGTTGGGTCTCGGTCCTCCACAGTCACTATTAAATATTCCATTGGAGAAATCTTGTATATACACGCATGTTCACAACTGCTCACAAACAGGTGCTCTGATCCGGGGGTTCTGACAGGTCACTGTGTGTATATATGTCTGTGTGTATACTGACAATATTTATGAATGTAGGCATGTATGTATGTATATCTTTATATATATATGTATGGGTATGTGTGTATTTTTATATATGCCCTCTATGTATTTATCCATTTATTTTTCAGGTGAGCGGACAGATGTGTGGTCCTGTGTTTTGTTGGTGTATATTTAATATACTCCTAATTGTCATTTCAGTCTTTCTATCTTTCTAATTACTTCTCTCTCTGTTTTGCTTTCTCTCTATTTTCTCTTCACAAAAAAACATAATGGTGTGGAGAGGATGGCTATAAGGGGAGAAGGGAGGCCATCCAAAAAAAAAAAGAATGAGAAAAACAGATAATAAAGATGCTAAACAAAGTTTCTGTCACTGATATTGGTGACTTGATATAATATTTAAAGAACAAGAATGTGCTTTGGTTTATGGGTTGCTGGCCCATGCATGGACCACATCTGGACCACCAAATGGCTGAGTGCATTGTGTGGGCCAGGACTGGGCCAGACAAATGTGGGATGGATTATTGGCCTTTTGGCCATGATTCAAAGGTTTATTTACCTGTCTGTGTTTTGGGTAGAGAGAGAGAAAATAAAGTCACCAAACTTACAACATTGTGTATGATTCGTGATGTTTTATTTTAGGTATTTTTTGCCACATGCTTTATGAGGAAAAGGTCTTGATTGCAGAATACTCTACACTCTCATTTTCCTCCATTGGTCTACAGGCACCATTTGATCTAATATTTACGTTGAGACAATCATTTTGACTCTTCAACAATTCTACACTTCCATAAGATCCTCCTGCTCTCTGAATGACAGGGTTCATACCGAACAAATGTTATTAAAATCAGTAAATCATTAAAATCTTAAATTGGATCCAACACACACCCCAAAAAATAAATACAACATTTTTTTACATCACTTTGCTTCTAATCCTCTAAGTTTTTTAAAATGTCTGGAATTGTGTGGAGTTCCTGAGAGGCCTCATTAGTGCTTACATTCTTATCTAGATTAGACTGGAACTATTCACTCCTCACATTAGAGAATCGTTAGGCTCTTTTTCCTGCCATGAACTTGTAAATTGGGGTGAAACTGAGCAGGAATAACACCTGAAGCTACATTTGAAGTTTTTAAAAGTTGAAATCTTGAGTCCTCCTCCTATGTTTAGAGTTGTTTTTTCTTGTTTGACATACAGCGGGTAAAATAAGTATTGAATACGTCACCATTTTTCTCAGTAAATATATTACTAGAGGTGCTAATGACATGAAATTTTCACCAGATGTCGGTAACAACCCAAGTGATCCATACATATGTTGAGGTGAACAGTTTTATAATCAAATATATGCTTTGTTTACTTATTAGTAATGAGTTTATTCAGTAGCATCTTGAGTAAATTAGTTATAGTGAGACATATTATTGTGGTTACTGTTTTAGAAGAAAGAGTTTTGTAAGTGTTTGAAAAAGGGCCTCTTGTGGAATGCAGAATCGGGGGAGGGAGACAGAAACTTGCTGCCGCTGTGTGTAGGAAATGGAGCAGCTGAGGTCATAAGGTCACGGAGAGCGGGGGTGTATAGGAAAAGCAGGAGCTTCATCAGACCAGACGACTTTCCAGCACTGCAGCTGAGACAGAGCTGAGAGCACCTGATTCCAGGTTGTCTGTTGTCTCTAAATGCGCATTTATACCTTTTTGAATAATCTTGTATTTTGCATTTTGCTTAACCTTTTACAATTACATTTAATAAAGGTGGGTTTGAACTTTTAAGTYCTTGTTTGTTATATTTCACCTCGCTTCTAGTTCAGCGATTAAAGAATCAAACGGACTCGGGCGTAAGAGTAAGTGGGCGGCTCACCCATCATCGCAACACATACAAAGAAATCAAACCATAAATGTCCAGAAATTAAGTTACTTGTAATAATGTGGAATTTTACCCGCTGTAAATGGTTTACTTCACCCCGTCTTAAACCATCTGCGCTCTTTGTCCAAAATAGGAATATTTGGTCCTCAATAGTGTCAAAACAGAAACTAATTTCTTCACACTCATGCACAAAAAAATGCTTTTCAGGTCACATTATACTGAGCAGAAACACTGTTTCAAATTTGGGCATGAGTTTAAACATATCTAGAACATTTGGTTCACTTCACACCCACACTTTCCTGGAAATAAGCAGAATATTGATTCACGTAAACATTTCTTGTAGACAGTCCTTTCTGTGTTTGAATGAAGACGACAAAAATAATTATTGGGCAAACAAATTTTTAAAATGTGCAAAGTAGTTCGTCTTAATAATACTTTGTGAAATGTCAAACTTTAAAGCAAAAGCATCTTTCCATATTAAACTTCTAAACAAGAATCACATTTGTTTGCTTTTATTGAGCAGTCAAGATGATGTGGAATTAGAACAAACAGTAGCTAGATCAAATGTAAATAAAGTAATAATGTCACAAGACTGCGTTGTGATTCTGTGCTGTCCCTTTACACATAAAACAAAACCTTCAGCCTGCTGAGCGGCTCAGCCAATCACAGCCAGGTTACAGCACAGTGACATTAGCATGGAGTGTGTATAAGATAAGTCTGCCCCTCCTCAGCGGTACTCTCGTCACAGTGAACTCCGACAGAAATCATGCCTGAACCCGCCAAGTCTGCGCCTAAGAAGGGCTCCAAGAAAGCCGTGACCAAGACCGCCGGCAAAGGCGGCAAGAAGAAGAGGAAGACCAGGAAGGAGAGCTACGCCATCTACGTCTACAAGGTGCTGAAGCAGGTCCACCCCGACACCGGCATCTCCTCCAAGGCCATGAGCATCATGAACTCGTTCGTRAACGARATCTTCGAGCGCATCGCCTCCGAGGCGTCCCGCCTGGCTCACTACAACAAGAGGTCCACCATCACCTCCAGGGAGATCCAGACCGCCGTGCGCCTCCTGCTGCCCGGTGAGCTGGCCAAGCACGCGGTGTCTGAGGGAACCAAGGCTGTCACCAAGTACACCAGCTCCAAGTAAACCTGCTCCTCCAACAACAAACACAAAGGCTCTTTTAAGAGCCACCCACCCAGTCTGTAAAGAGCTATATCCTTTTGTACAACAGATACATTAAAAGTGGTAATTTAGTAAAGAGAAACATTATAGACGTATTCTTATTAACATTAAAGCACTTCAGTATTCAATTTGAACTTTGTCCACTCATTACTAAAAAGGTAAAAAAAAATTTTTTTTATAAAGCTCTATTCTTAAAAATGATTTCACAAAGTGCTGTACAAAACAAAAACAGTAATGTAGCAATAAACATGGAACTGTCAATGTCAAATGTTAATCTAGCCTGCTGCACTTTAATGTTTGTACCAATAAGTCCAGCTCTTGTCTCATCTTGTATTTTTAGCACAACTGGAAAAAAAATTAGATCGTTTAAACCCTTTTAACATTTAATGTTGAAGCCTTAAGTTGCCTAATTTTAGAGATGTTGTAGCCCAAAAAGTAGACATTTTAAACATTTTGCAGTTTTCAATCCTTAACATGTTTAGATAAAAATATGCTCCACCTGATCGTTATATCCTGCAGGTTTTACTCTTCTGATTCAGTTAATGAAATGCCTTTTATGGCGTTCTGCAGAAGCCTGTTAATGTCACAGCATATTGGGCCATTTTGCAAATGAGGGGACCAGGACCGGAGGAGTAAATCTTACCAAAACTCAAAGAAGCTGTGAGCTCAAAAAGTTGTACATCTGCAGGGGGTAGAAATTAAGATCATTCTGGGAAAAGTTGTAAACTTGAGGGTAAAAAAACTGTAACTAAAGGCAAAATTTTGATTTTTAAACCACTGTAGTCAGAAATTTAACTGAGGGATCTCTTTTTCACATGACTAAAATGTTTCACTACCAGGAGAGTTTAGTTTAAAAACTAAAAGGCGTAGACTCTTTAAACCTTGAGTAGATTATTTTACACTGATTAGTGGCAATAATAGTAATAGTTACAACCAAGTGATTTGTGAAATGTATATTTGATTCGTGCAGCTTCAATAAAGGGAAATTTCGGCACTTTATATGCATTTATGAACAAATTGAGCATGGCCAGATGGTAAGGTAAGAGAATTAGAGTGACTGAAGGACTAAAATCTATAAGAATAATTATCAAAATTGAATGCAGCCATAAGTTCATAGTCATGATTTTCATACTCACGGTGTCTAATCAGATCTTAATATGCAACACCTGCGAGGTGGGATGGATTATCTTTGCAAAGAAGCACCCCCAACACAGATTTACACAATATTTGAAGGAATTGAAGGTCTGTTTTGTACATAGAAACAGTCTTGAGTTCAGCTCATGAAAAATGGGAGTAAAAACGTGTGTCTCTGTGTGTAGCAACACACTGTTTTTCCTGATTTACCAGTAATATAGTTAATAAAATTAATCAAACAAAACTAGATTTGATTAACATGTGACTTGTAGTAAAACTCACTCTTTGTTTTTGTGTTGTTCTGGTTGAAGGTGGATTTCTGTGTCTCCAGTTTAAAGGTGTTGAAAGACTGAAAATCACATATTCTAGAACTCTGAGTACTTCCTTTTTCAGGTGCTTTTCACTGACATCACTTCCTGTTATTGATCTGTCCTTACACACATAGAGTGTTCTCAGTGTTCTGATGCAGGAGAGTGAAGGTTTAGGACTGACTCGCTCTACAAACAGAGTTTATTAGCAGCAAACTTTGACAAGTTACAAGCTGTGGCGACTAAATTCACAATTAAAAATATGATCCTTCAAGAATCATTTATTGTCTGGTTAAAGTTTAGTTTCATTTTATGTGTTTAGATTTGCTCAGTCTGTTTTATTTTCTTATTTCTTGTTTAGCTTCCTGATGTTTCCTATATTTCAGCCTTCCACCATCCTCACCTGTGCAGCTTTTTCCAAAACTCCGTTAAGTCTGCTCTACAACAGTCTCCTGCCACCATTGTTTGGTTTACACCTGTGTTGCAGTCCCCTTTGTGCACCACAGGATTCCTGAGTTTTCTCCAAGTTTTGTTGCCACTCACATATTTTATTTTGTTTAATAAAGTAATTTTAGTACATCTTCCTGTTTTCCCCATGTTGTCTGCATCTGGGACCAAACTCAACCAAGGGAAAAAAAACACTTTTTAAAAAAACGTTACTGACAAAAACTCTGCTTATTTTCTAAGAAAAAAAATTGTTCAAGACTAAATCAACAGAACATTATTCAGACATTATTTTCACAACCCACACCCCCGAAGAAACAGGAGCAAATATTCACTCAAAGTCACTGAAAAGTTTAATGTGATTTGATTTTTGAACACTAACTGACCAAAGTGAAAAGAAAAAACAAACAAAAAACTATTTTCCGTCTGGTATTGCTGTGTTTCATTTGGAAAACTCATAATGGTTTGGCAAAATTAATCTGAGCTATAAATAAGAAGGAAAATAAAACATAAATTGGCTTAAAATCTTAACTGACTGATTTGGGTTAAAATAAAGTAAAAGAAACATTTTAAAGTTTTCTGTCTTTTCCTAATTTCTGAGTGTTGTGACCAATTTGAGCAGATACAAATCTTATAGCAGTTAAAGTTAAAATTAAAGTTAAAGTTAGTTTATACACATTTTAAAGTTCATTGTACAAAAAAGCTAACATTTTATGTAGGTAAATAAAACAATTAAAATATTTCAAAAATGTTTTTGTTTATTTTTATATAGAGCCAGAGAAATATACAGTGTGTATATA